AAATGCCTCTTCTAATTATGTGGTTATTAAATAAATAATTAAAAAATAATTATAAAAAAGGATAATTAATGTGCTTCTAAACTTTTTACAGAAGTTATGTGATTCAGAATCTCTATGAAAGTGAAGAAGATAGTCAGCATGGAGAAACCTTCAGCCAGATTCCAAATGTCAGTGTGACAAAGAAAACTACTGGAGGAAAATCCTATGATTATAGCATGTGTGGAAAAAGCTTCATGCTTCATTCATCTCTTATTAGGCATGTCAAATCTCACCCTGGTCGTGAACCTGATGGATTTAAGTGTGGAGAGAAGAGATATAAATGTAAGGAATGTGGGAGAACCTTCAGTTATCTCAAATCCTTTCAAAGACATGAAAAGATTCACACTGGAGAAAACCCCTACAAGTGTAAACAGTATGGGAAGACCTTCATATATCACCAGCCCTTTCAGACACATGAACAGACACATATTGCAGAGAAACCCTATCAGTGTAAGCATTGTGGCAAAGTTCTTAGTTCTCCCAGTTCTCTTCGAATTCATGAAAGGAGTCACACTGGAGAGAAGCCCTATGAGTGTAAGAAATGTGGCAAAGCCTTCAGTTGTCCCAGTTCTATTCAGATACATGAACACACTGGAGAGAAACCCTATAATGTAAAGAATGTGGGAAAGCCTTCATTTCCTGCACAAGTGTTCAAACACACATGGCAACACACAATGGAGATAGACCTTACAACTATAAGGAATGTGGGAAGGCATTCATCCGTCCAAGTTTCCTCCGAGTACATGAGCGAATTCACTCTGGAGAAAAACCATATGAATGTAAACAATGTGGTAAAGCCTTCAGATGTTCCACTTCCATTCAGATCCATGAAAGAACTCACACTGGAGAGAAACCCTGTACATGTAAGGAGTGTGGGAAAGCTTTCAGTGCCCGACCAACCTTTCGAGTACACATGAGAGTGCACACTGGAGAGAAACCTTATAAATGCAGAGAATGTGGAAAAGCCTTCAGTCGTCTAAGTTACTGTCATGTACATGAAAGGACTCACACTGGAGAAAGACCCTATGAATGTAAAAAAATATGGGAAAACCCTCAATTATCCTCTAGATTTGAAAATACATGAAAGAAATCACAGTGGAGAAAAACCATATGTATGTAAGGAATGTGCAAAGTCCTTCATTTCTTTTGAAAACTTTAAAAGACATTTGATAACACACACTGGAGATGGACCTTATAAATGCAGGGAATGTGGGAAGGCTTTCATTTTTCTCAGTGCATTTCAAACATATGAGAGAACTCATACGGGAGAGAAGCCTTACAAATGCAAACAGTGTGGCAAAGCATTTAGTTGTTCAAGTTAAGTTCAAATACATATGAGAACCCACACTGGTGAGAAACCCTATGAGTGTAAGGAGTGCAGAAAGGTCTTCATTTATGCCACAAGTTTCCAGGGACACATGAGGATGCACACAGGAGAGAAACCATATAAATGTAAAGAATGTAAGAAAGCCTTTAGTCTTTGCAGTTCATTTCAAAGACATGAAAAGATTCACAGCAGAGGGAAACTTTTTCAATGTAAGCATTGTGGAAAAGCTTTCACTTTGTCCACATCCTTAAATACGTGAAATTGCACAATAAAGAAAAATAGTGAATGTGAGGGATGAGGGAACATTTTCAGTTTCAAAAAATAGTTTCTGTTGTGAAATTTTTCCATTGTGAAGAAATCTCATACATTTAAGTAATATAGGAAGCTAACTGCAGTATAATAGCTAACATGTAAAATGGGCCATAAAGTTCATACTGTAGAAGAAACATAAAAGCTGAACATTTTATCAGTGTTTCATTCTTTCTAATATAGATGCATTTTTTGTTTGAGGCAAGGTTTCACTATGTAGCCTAGACTGACTTTGAACTCACAAGAGATCTACCTTCCTCTGCCTTCCAAATGCTAGGATTAAAGATTGTGCCACAGTGTCTGACTTGTATTCGTTTTTATTTGTATGTGTTTTGCCTATGGTATATAAGTGCACTCGTGTCCTACAGTGCCCACAGAGGCTAAAATTGGGCATCAAATGTCTTGGAACTGGAGTTACAGACAGTAATTAACTGCCATGTGGGTGTTGGGCACTGTGCTCTTAACCACTGATCTGTCCAGTCCCTTGTTTTTGTTTTTGTTTTGTTTTTTGAGCCAGGACCTCACACTGTAGCCCAGGTTAACCTGAAACTCACCATGTGGGCCAACATGACCTCCAACTTACCACAATCTTTCTACCTTAGCCTCCCAATTTACTGGAATTATAGACATGTACCACCACACCTGGCTTGTAAGTACTCTTTTAAGCATTATCCCAAAAATGTATTTGTTAGCATTTTCTTTTTTTAATATTTTATTTTTATATTATGTGTATGAATGTACTGCCTGCATGTATGTAAGTGCACCAATGTTGTGCAATGCCTGTGGAGGTCAGAAGACAGCATAGAATTCTCCTGTAACTAGAGATACAGACAGTTGTTAGCTGCCATGTGGGTGGCTGAGAATCAAACCTGGGTCCTCTACAACAGCCAGTGCTCTTAGCTGCTGAGCCATCTCTCCAGCCCTAACTGGCATTTTCTTACTAAATGAATTAGTAAATTTTATGTTTCTAGTTTGAAGTCTTGGATTAATTGGTAAATTGAAATGTAATTTAAATATATAATTAAGTTTTGGGTTTGGAGTGGTTTTTTTCTTTGAGGTTTTGCTTTTACTTGTTTTGAACTGTAGACTGAACCCAGGGCCTTTTTGCAGTGCTGAGGACTGAACTCCAGTCTTCATACATCTATATCAACTCTCTACCACTGAAATATATTACCATCCTTCCCCACGCTTAATTTTGTCTTTAGATAGGCTCTTGGTATGTAGCTAGTTGGCTTGGTACTTACTTTATAGCCCAGGATGCTCTTAAATTCAAGGCTTCCTTTCCTCCTGGCTCAGCTTCCTGAGCTAAGATTATAAGTATATACCACAATGCTAGCTCCTGGGTTTAATTTTCACTTAAAAATGTTTCTTTAATTGTTTGGTGAGTAAGTGGCCTCTGAAGTCAGACCTGTGGTATATGCCTGTAATGCAAAACTCAGGAATGAGGCAGTAGGATCACATTTTTGAGGTCAGGTTGTACAACAAAATGAATTTCAGACTAGCCTGGGCTACAGAATGAAATGCTGTCTCAAAAATAAGAGGAGAAAAGTATAGTTTTCCCAAGTATGTTTACTCATGTCTATAATCTTTCTTTTGGTTAACTGGGCTAAGGGTCTATCTTGTTCAGCTTTTCAAAGAACCAGCTCTTAGCTTGGTTGATTGTTTGCATTGTTTTATTTCTATTCCATTATTTTCTGCTCTGATTTTGTTATTTCTTCTTGTCTGCTGGGTTTGGGTTTCATTTGTTCTTACCTTTCCAGAGTCTAGAGTTGGAATGTTAAGTCATATATTCGTGCTCTGATTTTTTTTTTTTTTTGTCTTTTTGAGACAGGGTCTCCCTGTAGTCCCAGCTGATCTGAACTCACTATGTAGACCAGACTGGCCTTGAACTCACAAGGATCCTCCTGCCTCTGCCTCCCAAGTGCTGGAATTAAAGGTGTGCACCACCATGTCCGGCTTTCTTGCTCTGATTTTTTAATGTAAGTTCTTAGATCTATAAACTTCCCTCTTGAGACTACTTTTAAAGTGTCCCAGAGGTCTTGTTGTTTTCTTTGTTTGTTCATTGTTATGACAAAACACTCTGACCAGTACCAACTTGGGGAGGAAAGGGTTTATTCAGCTTACATTTCCCAGGTCACAGTTCATCAGGGAGCCCAAGGTAGGAACTCAGGGAAGGAACCTGGAGGCAGGAGCTGGAGCACAGGCCATGGAGGAACACTGCTTACTAGCTTTCTCCCCTGACCCATGCTCAACCTGATTTCTTATACAACGTAGGCCCACCTGCCTAGGGGGGCACCACCCACAGTGGACTGGGCCCTCCCACATCATTCACAGTCAAGAAAATTCCCCCACAGACATGGCCACAGGCCATTCCAATGGAGAAAATTCCCCAATTGAGGATCCCTCAACCCAGGTGTGTCAAGTTGACACTAAAGCTATCCAGCACAGTTGTATTATATTGTCTTTTTCATTGAGTCCCAGGAATATTTTTATTTCTTTCTTAATTTCTTCTTTGACCCATTCATCATTCAGGAGTGTGTTGTTTAATCTCCATGAGTTTGTGTAGTTACTAGGGTTTCTTTCAGTGTTAATTTTAAGCTTTATTGCATTGTGATCTGATAGAATACATGGCACTATTTCAATTTTTTTATTTATTGAGGTTGTTTCCAGTTTTAGAGAAAGTTCCATGGGCTGCAGAATAGAAAGTGTATTCTTTGATGCTTGGGTGGAATATTCTGTTAGGTTCATTTGATGTACGATATCATTTAATTCAGATGTCTCTCTGGTTATTCTTTGTCTGGTTGACCTGTCTCATGGAGACAGTGGGATATTGAAGTCCCCTCTATTATTGAGTTGAAGTTCATCTGTATCTTAAAGTCCTGTAGTACTGTTTTCATGAAATTGGGTGCACCAGAGTTCGGTGCATATATGATCATGATTGTAATATCTTATCCTTTCATCAGAATGAAGTGACCTTCTTGATCTCTCCTGATTAGTTTCAGTTTGAAGTCATTTTGTCAGATATTAGAATTGCAACCCCTGCTGGTTTCTTAGTGCCATTTGCTTGAAATATTCTTTTCTGTCCTTTCATTTTAAGGCAGTGCCTGTCCTTCAAGGTAAGATGGGTTTCTTGCAGACAACAAAAAGTTGGATTTTGTTTCTTAATCCATTTTACTAGCTTGTGTCTTTTGACTAGAATTTCAGTCCATTGATACTTAAAGTTATTATTGAAAGATGTGTATTGGTTCCCCTATTTTGATTTCTGTTTGCATTCTTGGTCTAATTTTGTATTTCCACATTTATACTTTCATTTAGTTTCTTTCCATTTTGATTTTGGTATGTGGACTTCTTTTGTTGTTTGTGATGATACTTAAGGCTTCCTTTGAGATGAAGTCCCCTTGGGTATAGTTGTTCCTTTTTTCCATATTTGTATTGCTTCAGTATTCTCTGCAGGGCTGGTTTTATGGACATGTATTCTTTCAGCCTGTTCATGTCATGGAAGATTCTTTTCCCTTCAACTGTAATAAACATTTTTGCTGGGTAAAGTATTCTTGGTTAACATCTATGGTCATTTAGAACTGGGAATACTTTGGTCCAAGCTCTTCTGGCTTTCAGTTTCCACTGATAAGTCAATTGTAATTCTGATGGGTTTTCCTTTATATGTGACTTGTTTTTCTTTAGCAGATTTCTGTATTCTTTGTTCTGTACATTTAGTGTTTTTACTATGATATGCTGTGAGGAGTTTCTTTTCTGGTCCTGTCTATTTGGTGTTCTTTATGCTTCTTGTATTTGTATGTGTATGTCTTTCCTTAATTTGGGGAAATTCTCTTCTAAAATCCTGTTTAAGATCTGGTCGATATCATTAACCTGAAATTCTTCTCTTTCCTCTATGCCTATAATGCATAAATTGTGTCCCGCATTTCCTGCATATTCCATTCCCGTGTTTGTTTGTTTTAATCTTTGCTTGAGCAGTCCAATTCTTCAACTTTATCGTCCAGTCTTGATATTATGTTTTCCATTTCATTCATTCTATTGGTGAGGCTTTCTCCTGTAGTTTCAAATTGGCTTGTTTAGTTTTTCACTTCTTTCTTCATTTCAGCCTGAGTTTTCTTCAAAATTTCTGTCTTTTATGAATTCAGCCAGAAGTTTATCCTTATTTTCTTTTAGTTCTTTGAGGGGTTTGTGTGTTCTTTAAATTCATTGAATTCTTTATCATGTTTATGATTATTCTTTTAAATTCTGTGTCCCAGGTTATCTCTAGGGGTTCTCATTGTAGAACTCTTCTATAGGACTGGTAGTGTTGGTGGGAACATATTATTTTCGTTTTCCATATTGTTATTTTTCCATTTTGATTTTGGTATATAGATTTCTTTTGTTGTTTGTGATGAAACTCATCTTCCTTTGTTGAGTTGAAGTCTACTTCTGTTTGTATTATTGGTGTACCTTGGTTGTTTTCTTATTGAGTATGTAAAGTTGGTTGGTCTAGGCTTCAGGTTCTCTCTTTTGATTTTATATTGAGGAACCAGATGACTTCAGTCCAGATACTCAGGAGCTCCTGCAGAGGCCCAAGTCAGGTGCCAGTCAGGTACTCTCAGATTTCCTCCTAAAGTCTGGTCCCCTACTAGCGAGCAGTCAGAGCACAGTTTGGGAAGCTTGCCAAGGGGAGGCCTAATTTAGATGCTTACAGGCAGTCTGCAAAGATCTGGGCCCCTACTAAAGGGAAGCCTAGCCCTGGGGTAGTGGGATGAACTGCAGGTTATCCCAATGTGGGGGGATGTGCATGGCACAATTTGGGAAGCTCACCGCAACGTGGAGGGATCCAGGCAGTCTCAGGAAATCTGCAAAGGTCTGGGCCCCTACTGAAGGACAAAGCCTGGCTTCCCTTCTCTTTACTGCCAACCCTAACTGGACCTCCTGCTGGATCTGTGCTGGATCAGCAGCCACAAGCTGGCTCTTAACTCCTGCCCCTCTGAATATTTGGACACAAACTGAGGCCACCTTATATATGTCACCTATGAAAACAGAACCCATCTTTTATAGAAGGTCTCAATTCAAGCTCTAGACCTAGCTCTAAAAGCATTGATAGAGCCACAGGCCCAGCTATAGTATCTTTCTCCTCATTCTTGCCCTGAAGCCCCCATCAAGGGCCCCATAGCCTAGGGTTCCTTACAGGGACAAACACCTGTCTGTATCCCTCACCCTTCCTTCCCTAGAAGTCATTCCCTGGGAACACAGCCCCATTGCTAACTTG